AATCCGTTGCTGGACACGGAAAAAGACAAAAGACCAAAAAAAAAAAAAAAAAAAAAAAAAAAAAAAAACCCCAAAAAGGCTTTAAGAGATTTGCCCAAACTCAGTAAGTTAAGGAAGAGAGATTGTCTTTCAAATCTTTTCAACTCAAACCCATTCCCTTGGCACTCTGCCAGACGGCCTCTATTTCCTGGCATACAGTTTGAAAGGAAACTGAAAGTACGTGTCATGGTTCAAATGTGCATTTTTATTTTATTGCAGCTTTACCACTCCTGAAGGCCCTAAGCCCCATTCTAGATGTTCAGACTGGGCAAGTGCAGTTGAAGAAGATGAAATGAGGACCAGAGTTAACAAAGAAATTGCAAGGTATACATTTTTGGACCACTTTGAAGTGTTGCCTGTGGTATTTTCAATAACAATGCTTTTGGGGGAGGGGGAGATTGGTTGGCCAGTACAGGGATCTGAACCCTTGACCTTGGTATTATCAGCATTGCACTCTAACCAAATGAGCTAACTGGCCACTCCAATTACGTATTGCATTTGAGGTATGTCTTAGAGCAGTGGTTCTCAAAAGTCTGGGCCCTGGAGCAGCAACAGCATTTCCTGGGAACTTGTTAGAAATGCAGATTCTCAGGCCCCTCCCTGGACGTGCTGAATAGGAAGCTGCTCATGGGGTGGGGCCCAGCCATGCTGAAGCCCTCCAGGTAAGTCTGTTCCCTTACATGTGAAGACCACTGTCCTAGTGGTAATCCTTCCAAGAAGTCAGAGGTGCTGCTGCTGGCTTGCAGAGGGCTCTCCATGGCCATTTTTTCCCACCTACCACATGCTGTGCTCACACAGTAGTGGAGATGCTCTCCTCAGATGAGGGAATGTGCTCTTGACTGACACCTACTCAGGTAACATAGCTAAGAAGTGCCAGAGTATGGGGAGGGGTCCCTAACTTAGGGGCTGTGAACTCCTTGCAGTTGTACATGAAATTGTTGTGTGTATCTGAGTTCTCACAAACTAAACCACTTCTTCCTCCTTGACTCATTATGGTTCAGATAATGAGTCATCCTTAGCCATCATTTAATCTTCCTTGATTATCAATGTTATCAATGTTTTTGGTTCTTTCTCCCCCTTGATATAGGCCATCCAGCCCAAACCCAGCTGAATGAAATTTGAGTTAAAATGTATTCGTGATTAGTTGAGATATTTTGCAAGAGGATTTTAGTTTAGTGGCTAATAGATCAAATGGGATTTTTGTTAGTTCTCAATGAGAACATGTGTTCTAATGTCAGTTGGGAAGCAAGACTAGACTGCCTGTCCTCATCTCAGCCATCGCTGATGGAGTGTGTAGCTGCCGCCTTTGAAAAATCATAGGAATGGGCTGGCCTGTGGCTCACTCGGGAGAGTGCGGTGCTGATAACACCAAGGCCACAGGTTCGGATCCTATATAGGGATGGCCGGTTAGCTCACTGGCTGAGCGTGGTGCTGACAACACCAAGCCAAGGGTTGAGATCCCCTTACTGGTCATCTTTATTTAAAAAAAAAAAAGGAAAGAAAGAAAGAAAAAGAACAGGAATATGTGGAGATTAGTTATTGCACATTCAGGGAGTTGTTCTTAACCACTTTTATGTGTCAAAATGTGTGGGTGAGTATTATGTATAAAAAAAAAAAATGAACTGGGAACAGATGTGGGCACCATGTGTTGAGTGAATTGTTTTATTTACCTAGGTCTGGACTTTTCCAGCTGTAAAATTAGAGTACTCGACTTGATACATGCAGTTTCCCTGTTACGTTCACAAGATATAAAACAATTCTCACATCCCTGTGTGTCCTAGTTGCTCCCCCAAGTTACCTTTGCTAGGGACTAACTGCAGCTCTTGTGCAGGGAGATCCTACCTGTCTGGACCCTCCTGTGGGACCCCTCTTTGTTCCTCACATATCTCACAGGCCTGTATCTGAAAATTGTCCTGCTTTGCAAAATAGACTTGCTCTTTTCCAGAGCACTATTTTGGGCTTTGCTCTTGATCGCACCCTTTCTGATGTAATGTGATGCTTTCAGTGCAGCAAGGGTAATTTGCCCTCCTGGCCCCCTGGGCATTCCGGCTTACTTCCCAGCAGTGAGTGGCGTGAGAGTTCAGCTTACTGTACTTTAAGGAGAGTAACAGACTGCAGACCAGCAGTCTGAGAATTTGAAAATGTGTTTTAGTCATACCCGAAGCCTTTCTCATTTGGGCACCAGAGAGAATGAAGCCCCATGGAAAATGATTTGGAGGTCTAGTTTCTCAATTCTCACGCACATGGTCTATAACCAGTGCTATTCTAGACACATGGGACAGAAATTATTTCGTTACCTCCTGGTGTCCAAACTGCACTGGATGCCACAGCAAACTTGTAGGGTGATGAGTTAGATCTTGGGAGGAGGCATAGTGGTATGTGGTGGTGTGACAGTGGCATGACCTTCTAGCTTGAGGTGATTCACAGGTTCAACATTAGACTGCGCTAGGCTCCTTTCAGTGACATCTTGCCTTTTTTGCAAATGTGAATTTTGGAAGTTGCTGTGGTAGAAAGCGGATGCCTATGGGCCGGCCCGTGGCTCACTCGGGAGAGTGCGGTGCTGATAACACCAAGGCCCCGGGTTTGGATCCCATATAGGGATGGCTGGTTAGCTCGCTGGCTGAATGTGGTGCTGACAACACCAAGTCAAGGGTTAAGATCCCCTTACCGGTCATCTTTAAAAAAAAAAAAAAAGCCCAAACCCAGCTGAATGAAATTTGAGTTAAAATGTATTCGTGATTAGTTGAGATATTTTGCAAGAGGATTTTAGTTTAGTGGCTAATAGATCAAATGGGATTTTTGTTAGTTCTCAATGAGAACATGTGTTCTAATGTCAGTTGGGAAGCAAGACTAGACTGCCTGTCCTCATCTCAGCCATCGCTGATGGAGTGTGTAGCTGCCGCCTTTGAAAAATCATAGGAATGGGCTGGCCTGTGGCTCACTCGGGAGAGTGCGGTGCCCAAACAGGCACCACACACCCTACTAAGTAATCGTATTTTAAAAAGAAAAACTTTAGGGCTGGCCCGTGGCTCACTCGGGAGAGTGCGGTGCCCAAACAGGCACCACACACCCTACTAAGTAATCGTATTTTAAAAAGAAAAACTTTAGGGCTGGCCCGTGGCTCACTCGGGAGAGTGCGGTGCTGATAATACCAAGGCTGCAGATTTGGATTCTATATAGGGATGGCCAGTTCGCTCAGTGGCTGAGCGTGGTGCTGACAGCACCAAGCCAAGGGTTACGCTCCCCTTAGCGGTCAAAATAAACAAATAAATAAATAAAACTTTTTATTTCAATTTATGTTTATTTTTTTCAAAAGGCTACTAAGTTTTGGGGGTGTGAATTTTTATGTTTGGATTTTACTGCTTAAACTGAAACTGTTAAGGATTTCTTTTGGTCTAGGGAACCTCAGTGACATAGGATGGTGTGCCTGAGGTTATCAGTGCAGAATTCTCAGAACCATGTTGCTTAAGGCATTGACTTTAAATGATCATGTCAAATAATCTTTATCATACAAAATGATGGTGATGAGGGTGGTTGAAAATTAAAAAAGCAACATGCTCTTACCCAAAACCACATTGCTCAGGAAGAAGGCTTTATTTCTGGGGTGCTATCGTTTAGCTCTAAAAGCAGTAAGTGTAAGTAAATTTTTATGCCTTTTTAAAAATAGCAATATTTATTTTGCTCTCAGATATAAAAGAAAACTCCTTATAAATGACTTTGGAAGAGAGAGAAAATCATCATCAGGAAGGTAAATGCTGTGTAAACATTTTCTATTTTGATAGACCTGTAATTTGTTAATGAAAAAAATTGACTGTGAGAAATGCTGATCGTCCCAGTAGCATTTATCGATTAGTCTGTTCTTTGCTGATTTTAGACACTGTGTCTGTTGCGTACTAAATTCCCATACGTATAAAGATTTTGGATCATTCTGGGATTGATGTGGTTGGAATCCAGATGGATGAATCTTCCTTCAGTATTGTGTTTTTCAACATTTTCTTGGCTCAGCTTAGATGGTGATCTTAACTGCAAGCCTTGTTCCATTAATCTTTCATTATTTCTCTCAGTTCTGATTCAAAGGAATCTACATCTTCAGTGCCGGCTGACTTAGAGACAGATGAGAGTGTCCTGATGAGGAGACAGAAGCAGATCAACTACGGCAAGAACACCATTGCCTACGATCGCTATGTTAAAGAAGTCCCACGGTAGTCCTGTCTTGATGGCATGTCCCCAGCAAGTGTCATGGCATTGCACTTCTAAAGAGTTGCTTAGATTAGATAGTTATAACCCACTAAGAACTATTTATTAGTGGCTCAGGATGCTTATGGTGTAAATAAAAAATGGATTGGCAATTGAAAAAAAGTATGTGAGGATTTTAGAAAAAATAATTTTCATAATTTTGAATATTAGATAACATTTTATTTCTCAAGACTCAGAAATCTTGTAGATAGAAAGTTATTAAAATACGTGATGAAAAAAAAAATAAAGCTCAAGATTGTAAAGATCTAATTGGAGAAACAAATTGGCCTTGCCCTTGTTTGTATAAACAGCATGCTCTTCCTTTCCTGCTCTCTTGAACATATAGGCACAACTAAATATAAGGAAAGCTTTGGAGTTTTCATTAATTTTGTGGCAGGATTGTGGTTAAAATTGACTTTTCTGGAACACAGATTACAAAGGAATAATAAGATTCAAAGAGATAGTGCTTTTTTATACATTACTTTGCTCATTTTGTAGAATCTCAGATGTATAGTTTTTTTTTTTTTTTTTTCCTTTTTGTCTTTTTTCATGACTGGCAAGGGATCGCAACCCTCAGTGTCGCGCCCGTACCGGCAACGGGATCGCAACCCTCAGTGTTGCTCCCTGCACCTCGCTCAGCCAGTGAGCGAGAACCGGTCTGTATGTGGGATCCGACCCCTCGGCGGGAGGGTCGCCACGCTTCCCAAGCGGCGCACTGTAGCAGTGCGCCACCGGGCCGGCCCTATAGTTTTTTAAAATAATGCTAATCTCAAAGTTTGGTTAATCTTTGAGTGTGTTAGGGTAAACTTGTTCTCTCTTGTAGACACCTTCGGCAACCTGGCATTCATCCCAAGACTCCCAACAAATTTAAGAAGTACAGTCGACGATCATGGGACCAGCAGATCAAACTTTGGAAGGTGGCTCTGCATTTTTGGGATCCTCCAGCTGAAGAAGGATGTGATTTGCAAGAAATGTAGGTCTTTATTGTGTTCTTTTTCTGTCTCTGATTGGCACAGTGACTGAAACAGCTCTGTGTATCACTTGTGCAGCAGGTTATTTTGGTGATAAATCCCCTGGAAGTTCTCAGAGAGCAGTGCAGTGACTGCCATAGACCAGTGTTGGTGTACACTGTACACAGCTGGGTGAGAGGGGGCTAGAGGGAGGGAGGACTTTGCTTTCTGGATTGAATTCATTTTTTGTTTTGTTTTGTTTTGTTTTTGGCAGCTGGCTGGTATAGAGAATTTACTTTTTGTAGCTAGAAAAAATAGAAGTTGGTACATCTGGGAATATATGGTAGCTTGCTTTTGTTTGTTTGTTTTTATTTTTTATTTTTTATTTTTTTTTTGTCTTTTGTCTTTTTTCCGTGTCCGGCAACGGATCGCAACCCTCAGTGTTGCCCCCGTACCGGACCGGGGACCGGCAACGGGATCGCAAGCCTCGGTGTTGCTCCCGCGCCTCGCTCAGCCAGTGAGTGGGAACCGGTCTGTATATGGGATCCGGACCCTCGGACGGGAGCGCCACCGCGCTTCCCAAGCGGCGCACTATCCAGTGCGCCACCGGGCCGGCCCTGTTTGTTTGTTTTTAAAGATAAACATCCTAAAAAGTATTTGAGTCATTTATGTTGAAATGTGAAAATAAAAGGTTTTATTTTAATTAAGGAAGGGTTTTTATCTTTTCCCTATTGGTTTTTAAACTTGTGCCCAGTTGAAAACATCTCAGGCCTGAACTTTTGCTGCCTGATGAGAATACTCACTGGACAGGAAGGTGTGGAGAACGGTCTTGGGATCGACTCCTGTGTGGCATTTCTTCTGTCTCTTCTCAGCTCCCCTCTGGTCCTGGGCCGATCCCTTCCTGAGAGACATTTGTTCATTCAACAAACATTGGAGCTTGTTTTCTGTGATGGGAAATTTATTAGAAATTGGTGTTTTGTTTTGTTTGTTGTTGGTTTTGTTTGTTTTTGGTGGCTGGCTGGTCTGGGGATCTGAACCTGTGACCTTGGTGTACTTGGTGTTACCAGCACCACACTCTCCCAAGTAAGCTAACCAGCCAGCTTAGAAATTGATATGTTTGAAACGGTTTTGTATTAGTCCGTTTCTGTTGCTTATAACAAAATACCTGGAACTGGGTAATTTATAAGAAAATGAAACTTATTAACAGTTTCTGAGGCTGGGAAGTCCAAATCCAGGTATGTCCAAAGTCCAGGTGAGGGTCTTGGTGGTGGCAACAGTGACTCAGTGTTCTCACGTGACAGAAATGGCGGAACAGAGGGTGACTAATCTCTCATGTGACTTTCTTTTAAAGCCTTCAGAACCACGCCCCTGACTACCATTATTAATCTACTCACTACGGCATGGTCTTAGACCTAATCACCTCTTCAAGACCCCATCTTTCAATTACCGCAATAGTATTTTCCACCCTCAGCAGTTACAGTGCAAATCAAGCCTCAGTGAGGTTGGGGAGCATCAAGTCTACCGCAGGTTTCTAGCTTAATAGGTTTGGCCCCACAAATGTCATACCAGTTTTTTCCAGTGTGACACCATTGTCCCATTCTCTATGAGTAGAGGAAAATTGGAAAGATTAGTGATAATGTATGGTTAGTCACAATGTGGCTTGTCACAATATTCGTTTCCCTTACCACCTCAAACATTGGGCTTGTTGTTAGTACTTCTGCTTGCAAGGATGTTTGTGGCTGTGTATAGATAATTCTGCAGCTGTAGGAAATGGGCAGGTTTTGGTGTGCTGTGAGCCAGGCAGATCTTTTCACTTGTTGTAATTTGTTAGCTTTCTCTCTGCTGGATTGATTGGGAAAGGGGTAAGTCTGGCAAATGGGAAGTCACTGAAAACTGACCCCTCGGGGATCTTAGGGGGCGCTCAGTGTCCATCGAGGCAACACACTGTAGGTGGGGTCTGTTTTTAGGGAACCGACATGGTGAACTTTGCTGCACCCTGTGTCTCCTGGCTTTGTGAAGCTGGTGACTGACATTCCTGCTGGATTTCATTCACAGACATCCGGTAGACCTTGGGGAAATGGAGACCGAATCCACAGAAAGCAGCTCCGAGTCCCAGACGAGCTCTCAGGATAACTTTGTAAGCACTTCTTTGGTTATACCTTTCAGCTTGGGTGGTTATGTGAATTGTTGACAATTTTTATGCCACTTTAGAAGCTGAAGTTTGATTCTGATGTCTATGAAAGAGGGACTCCTTATATATCCCATCATTGACATTTCAGTTTTGATCGGGAGATTGAGTTCTTAGGTAGAGACCTTAATTTAGGTTTTTGATTCAGTCTGACTAATCAATCCCATTTTCGTTTGAAAGTAAAAGGCCTTTTCCCTTTGAACCAGCATCTGCATATGCATTGTCACTAGCACTCAATTGTAGGCTGTGTACAGTTTGTGTTGGTGAATTGCTAGTGTAGGAATCATCTGCCAGTTGTTTTTAATAAGGGAATGCTTTGTGCCTGGGGGTTTTTCCTGCTTTTGCTGCTTTTTAAAATAACACGTTTTTGAGGAAGAAAAAACAACCCCAAAGATTAAAAACAATGTACAGAATTCCCGCATCCCTAACTCTGTAGTTAATGATTGGGTGCACATTCTTGCATCAGAAGGAGAGGTAAATAAGCAGGTGGGAGTGGGGGAACCAGGCTGTGAAGCATGGGGCTGTGGGACGGGGTGAGAGGGAGAGGTCCTGGTGGGAGTTCCTGGTCCCTCCAAGGAGAGGTGGTTCACAGATGGCTGGGTATGCAGAGGGGAGGAGAGATACGCCCTTTTCTGAAGGTGCTTTGAAAACATTTTGATCTGCAGTGCTCTGAACACCCATGTAGTCATCATCTTCCCTGTGAATATGTGTGTGCACATTCCTTAACCACTTGAAAGTGGCAGTGGAGCTTCACCACTACACGCTGACACTTTTGCTTCTTAAGATTAAGGATATTCTTGTGGACAGAAATGTAACATGATTCAGGAGGTATCAACCAGATTTCTCCATTGTAAAAGTAGGAACTTTTTTTCATGTTCTTGGTAAAACCTTGGTTTTAATTGGTATAAACATATTGAGTTTCAAATCGGCTTAAACTCCCTAATAGTAAACTCTAACATTTGAATGTATGACCTTTTTTGGGGGGGGGGCAGCTGGCCACTATGCGGATCTTGAACTCTTGACCTTGGTGTTATAACACCATCCTCTAACCAACTGAGCTAACTGGCCAGCCCTGACCTTTCAATTAAGTGTTTTTAATTAAAGAAGCAAAACATGGGCCGGCCCAGTGGCGCACTGCTACAGTGCGCTGCTTGGGAGCGCGGCGGCGCTCCCGCCGAGGGTTCGGATCCCATGTACAGACCAGCTGCTCACTGGCTGAGTGAGGTGCGGGAGCAACACCAAAGGTTGCGATCCCATTGCCGGTCCCGGTCTGGTACGGGTGCGACACTGAGGGTTGCGATCTGTTGCCGGTCACGAAAAAAGACAAAAAGGAAAAAAAAAAAGAAGCAAAACATGATTAAAACAATCAAGAAATATATTAATGTAAACAGTCATTTCCTGTCCTGAGATAGCTACTATTCATAGTTTTGTTTAGCCTTTTAGAATTCTTTCTGTGCTTATAAAATATGTATATGTCAAAACTTTGTGTTTTATACAATATCCTGTAAGTAGTACAAGGATACTTCAAAAAGTTCATGGAAAAATAGAATTGAAAGACAATATGAATCTTTCCATGAACTTTTTATCATTGTTAGAATGCATCCCAATTGTGACTGAAGTGTACACCTTGACATGTGTTATCTTACGGGGTTCCCATATGCTGTGGGGGGTGGGGTGAGTGGGCTCAGGCAAGGGCTGTCTTCACCCCAGGTCATTCTCTGCTGCTGGTGCTCAACTAGTTTGATGTGATTCTGCTTCACAAGTCACAGTGTTTGACATCGTGTGTGCAGTCTGCACATCAGCTCCTGTTAGAGTGGTGGGTGGTAGCTGTGGCTCAGAGATGGTAAGGGGTCCGCTAGTTTCTAATCCGGCTGGAGGGGGGGCTAGTTTAGTGAGTAGGAATTGGACATCTCCAGCTAAAGTGAAATTTGATGATGTCCATTATCCACGAATTTTAATTAGCTAATTACTGTGAGTTCTCTGTTGTGAATGTCCCTGCATTTGTGTGGCCTTCACTGGGTCCTGTGGTGCTGCTGCGTGCAGGCCCGTGCATTGGAATGCCTCAGTAGGTGCATAGGCAGCCTTGTGCTTAGTGTCACTGACAGCAAGGCTGTAGGCCTGAACGGAAACGTGACCCATGCTTCTGTTTTCTAGGATGTGTACTCTGGCACACCCACCAAAGTTAGACACGTGGACTGCCAAGTGGAGGACGACTTTGATTTGGAAGCTTGTTTAACTGAACCCTTGAAAGACTTCTCATCCATGAGCTAACTGTGCCACCTGGTGGCCACTGAGAGAAACAGTCACGTCTGCCTGGCCAGGTAGAGGGCCGGCCAAGCGCCAGGCGTGGGCCATGTACTTGAACCTGGATGGTTTCTGTGTTGATAGTTCATTATCTCATGAGGAATTATTATTCTTGCCTTATTTTCTTAAGAAACATTACTTTTATGTATAGTGAGTGTATTTTGCATGTTTTAAATTGTAAATGGAGTTAAATCCTAGGAAGATTGAAATTGAAGCAATTTTGCAATAACTTAATTGCTTAATTTCTACCATGCTCCAATTTAACCTGACAAGTATACTTTAATTGGTTTTTCACAAGTATTTTAGACATTGTTACCACTTGTCAGTCAAATGGGTTGGTTTGGATTGAACCTTGTATTCATGGAACCAATCTAGAGTCAGTTTTCTTTACAGGTATCTGACAAAGTATTCTCAGGGTCAGACACCTTTAATATCTTTATGGAAACTTGATTTTTGGCCTTTTATTGATATGTCAGAGTAGGTTTTTCCCCTCATACAGAGCTCTGAACAAAGATGTTAAGTTGAGGTGTTAAGTTAATGGGTTTTATGTAAGTTATACAGTCTTAATTTGGTACTTGTAAATAGCACTGGGTAGGCTCTTTACCTGCAATACTCCGAGAGTTAAAGCAGCAGAGGAATTTAGAAAACATTTTTTACAATCAGTTAATCGCCATGTAAAATTGCTGTATATGATAATGTGTACAGATTTCTGTTCAAATATCCAATTGTAAACTTCTTGTTAAGACTGTTATGTTTCTATTGCTTTTGTATGGAACGATATTGCAAAAATAAAAAGAAAAGAATCTTTAACTGGTTTATAACGTTGCCAGTCTACCTGCCATGGTAATTTACATGTTGGAGGGTCAGAACAAGTACCTGGCTCTCTTATGCAGCACATGGGGAGGGCGGCATGTGGTGGTGAGAGAACCGTGACCAGCACTCGGGAGTGGTAGCTTGAGTGCCAGACGCTGCCCTGGGCCCTGTGTGTGCTGGCTCATTAAACCCCACCCCACCCACCAGCGACCTGTATAGATTCTGACGTGGGATCCTGGTCCTATGTCTGTGCTGGCCTGCCACATTCAGTGCATTCCTAGCAGACTTAAACACAGAAGCCAACATTTATTAGCAACTAGGGTGGCAGACAGTTGAGCAGAACATGCACCGGACTGGGGTCCTGAGGAGCATCCTGCCCATGGCCACATGTCCCAAGGATAATCCCTCAGGAGTGATGCTGGGCTTGCTTCAAACTGGGGTGGGCCTTGGCAACTTTGTTCAAGGAGTTTGAAAAGGGTAGAAGCCCTTCCTTCTGCTGTTTTCACTTAACATTTTCACAATAAATTTGTTCACTTAACACATATTTATTGAACCCATACTGTGTCAGGTACAGTCTAGTAGACACTGGGGCACAGCAGGAGACGGGATGCCCTGAAGCGTGTGCTCACGCTCTGGTGGCACTGCAAGACAGTAAGTTCAATGTTGCATCAGGGGGTCTGAGAGGAGAGCGGGAGAGGGCATGAGGGGAGATGCCTGCAAAGTGCAAAGGCCCTGATGTGGGAGTGTGGCGTTTGGCTGCCAGCACAACGCTGATGTGTGGGAGGCTGGAAGCATGAGGAGCTGTTTGTGGAAGCTGCTGGAGGAGGCCTTGGGCTCAAGGAGGGCTGGGGAGGAGGTGTAGGAAATACAGGAAGCTTGAGTGAGGCTGGCCCTCGTTACATCGTGAATGGAAGTTAAGTGACAGTGTCCTCCAGCCTGGTGGCTGAAGGCAGGAAATGTGCCTGATGAGCTGGACGAGCCAGCTAAGGACTTTCCTGGCAGGACATTGAAGGAACCTCTGGCTCTCTGCTGCTGTCATAGATTCCAGCGGGGAGGGAAGCTGAAGGACTGTACAACACGGGGGAATGGCACTTTGTGGGCTTGAATGTTCTTGGCCTTTCCAGGTGGCAAACAAGGCCAAAATTAAGTGGCTACTGAGCAGAGATCAAATCTGGAGGACAGACAGGAAGACATTCTCTAAACTGAAGCTGAGGGTATGGCTGTCCAATCCTTCGTTAAGACCTCAGAGAGCTGAGAACCTTTCTGTCAAACAGTAGGGCTTCTAAGAAGCTTACGAGTGTCCCTCAGCAGAAGCCCGAGACAGAAGGGCCTATTTTGAAGAGACCTATGGGTATGGCTTTTGTCTAATGAATTGGACCCCAATAAGATTCACAGGAGTCTCACAAAGCTATTGGAAGAATTATAGGCAGACGTACTGCCAGGTTGGACTGAAAGGGACAGACAGCACAAAATGAAAATAGGTCTTTTGGACTCTCAAGATCCTACCAGCAGGAAGCAGGCTGAGAAAACTGCCCAGCTGCAGACACAGTCTACCTTTCCTAGAAAAGAAAGGATCATTCAGAGAGTGGGCCCAAACGCCCAGAGGACAGTCCAGAAGCCTGGAGAATCACTGGTGGAGCAGGGCCAAACCCACCAGGGAACCGCACACGTGCCTGGCTGGGTTTAGAACTGCCCTGGACCCTGTATGTAGGGTGTGTATATTAGTCTGTTTCTGTTGCTTATAACAAAAATAACTGAAACTGGATGATTTGCAAGAAAAAGAAATTTATTGCTTACAGTTTCAGAGGCTGGGAAGTCAAAAGTCCAGGGAACACATCTGGTGAGGGTCTTGGTGGTGGCTTTTCAGCAATGCAGGGGGCTCACATGGCAGAAAATGGCGGAGCAGAGAGAGAGACTAACCTCCTGTGCTCTCTTTAAAGCCCTCAGAACCACACCTGTGACCACCATTATTAATCCATTAACTGCAGCGTGGTCCTACAATCTAATCAGCTCTTCTCATGCTGCCGGTATGGATCTGGCCATCACATCTTGGGCACGAGTGGTGACAATCAGCTTTGTACCCCATGAATGTTCATAATCAATAAAATAAGTAAATTTTTAAAAAGTAAAATAAAAAGGGATTACATAAAACCAAAAAGTTTCTGCATAGCTAAGGAAGCAATTAAATGAAAAGGCAACCTACAGAATGGGAGAGAATATTTGTAAACCATAATTTCTGATAATGAATTAATATCCAAAATATATAAGGAACTCAAATAACTCAATAACCAGAAAACTGTTAGCGTGATTAAAAAATGGACAAAGGACCTGAATGGACATTTCTCAAAAGAAGACATACAAATGGCCAATAGGTACATGAAAAACTGCTCAACATCACTAATCATCAGAGAAATATAAAATAAAAATACAATATCACCTAATACATGTTAGGCTGTATTATCAAAAAGACAGATAACAAATATTGGTGAGGATGCGTAGAAAAGGAAACCCCTTCTGCACTGTTGGCGGGAATGTAAATTGGTACAGCTATTTTGGAAAACAGTATGGAGTTTCCTCAAAAAATTAAAAATAGAACTATGATATGACCCAGCCATCCCACTTCTGAGTGTATATTCAAAGGAAATAAATTCAGTATGCCAAAGAGACATCTGCACTTTCATGTTCCTGCTGCATTATTCGTAATAGCCGAGACCTAGGAACAGCCCAAGTGTTCATCAATGAATAGATGGAAAAGATACCGTGAGATAAATATATATACATGAGTATTATTCAGCCGTTAAAAAAAAAGTGATATCTGGGCCGGCCCAGTGGCGCACTGGATAGTGCGCTGCTTAGGAGGCGCGGCAGCGCTGCCGCCCGAGGGTTCGGATCCCACATACAGACCGGCTCCCGCTCACTGGCTGAGCGAGGCGTGGGAGCAACACCGAGGTTTGCAATCCCGTTGCCGGTCCCTGGTCCGGTACGGGGGCAACACTGAAGGTTGCGATCCGTTGCCGGACATGGAAAAAAAAAAAAAAAAAAAAAAAGACAAAAAAAAGTGATATCCTGCCACTTGCAACAACGTGGATGAACCTTGAGGGCATTATGTTAGTGAAATAAGTCAGATATAGAGAGACAAATACGGTATGATCTCACTTATTTGTGGAACCTAAAAAAGTTGAAGTGACAGGAACAGAGAACGGAATCCGAGCGCTGATTGCTGGGGGCTGTGGGGAAAAGGGACCGGGCAGATGTCGGTCACGTAGTACAGACTTTCAGTTATGAGGGAAGTAAGTCCTGGGCATCTGAGTTCAACATGGTGGGTATAGTGAACAACACAGCATTGTCTATTTGAGGGAGAAGGAAAAAATCGCCTCTTCAAGGCGTCACCGTGCAATTACCATGATAGGACTTCCCAACCTCAGCAGCCACGGTGGGGATCCAGCCTCTGGGTTGGGGCATCCAGTCCACAGCGATGAGCGTGTGTGGCGGGCAGGTAGGTGTGTCTAGTTCAGCATCGAGGGGAGCTCAACCCCAGGGGCTGTCCTTACTGGGACGTGTGGGATTCAGATGAAGACTCCGGTCTCTGCGCAGATGGTGGGATGGGAGGAAACTGAGGTCAGGTGCGGCTGGAGCCCACGAGAGGGCAAGTCTTGAGCGAGGGCGCCCGGTGCTGGAAGAGTTCCCCGACTGTTGGCTGTGGCTTCACGTTAAAATTCTTGGAATGCTCTTAAGCACCAAGGAAATCAATCTTCAGCCTTTAGTTCTTGCCTTTTAACGCTGTTAACATCATCCAGTATTTTCTGTGTGAGGGTTACAAGTAACCAGCAGGCCGGGATTGACTCTTGTACATGGAACCAAGAAGTGTCAGAACTAAATTAAGTTTGTCCAGCGTGATTAAGTCCTCACGGTCCCAGGCTGGTTGCTATCTCGTCCCCTTCGGCGAGCCATTTTGCCACCTTTCCATGCTCTGGGCAGGGTTGGCTTACCAGGGTTGTCTTCCCGAGTCCCACCGCTTACTTTTCTCGTGTCTGTGAAGCCATTCTCGGTTCTGGCGTCTGTCAGGATCCTGCCCTGGAGCTGCTCTTTCTCAGCAGTTCTGCGACCCCACTGCTGACTGCTCTGTCCCTGTGGTGGGCAGGTGTTGTCTCATCTCCCCTCTGCAGGCCACTCCTGGCTTTCTGGACCCATGTGGGTAGCTCTTCTGATTAGGCGACACGTTATGGGATCTTTTTCTTCTTTCCTTTTTTCCCCACGTAGGCAAATTTAAAAGGTCGGCTAGGTGCAGTCACGTTACCGCTCTCGGCCACCTGGAAGCTGCTCGCAAGTCCGCGTGTCGGCCGCCTGCTCGGCGCCCGGGTTGGCTGGGCATGGAGGGAGTGTGCAGATTTGATCGTCAGTCTGCACATCATTTTATGTTCAAGAATCGTGAAGTTTCTTTTTTTTCTTTTTGCTTTGTTGTTGTTTTCTTTGCATTTTACTTTTTTTTTTTTTTTTGGTGACTGGTAAGGGGATCGTAACCCTTGGCTTGGTGTCGCCCACACCGCGCTCAGCCAGTGAGTGCACCAGCCATCCCTATATAGGATCCAAACCAGTGGCCTCGGTGCTACCAGTGCTGCTGCGCTCCCAGCGCCGCACTCTCCCGAGTGAGCCACGAGGCTGGCCCTTGTTTGCATTTTAATCTGCAGATTTTAATTGGACCTAAGCCACTGTAAGAATCACACTTTAAAGACGCATGTGACGTTTTCAGGAAACATCTTCCGTCAGTGGAGGAGTGTAGGAAGCAAAGCCTCCTCATGTCAGCACGGAGGACTTGATGGCTGAGGTTCCAACCATGTGCAGTCCCCAGCGCATGCTGACTGGCCTGGCACATAATGGGTGCTTTCAGTGTGGTGGGACGAGGGACACAGAACAGCTGTCCCATCCCAGTTCTGTTCCTTCATAGCCGCGTCGTGTCCTTCACGTCCCCAACTATGAAATGGGTGTGACAGTGTCTGCCTCATAG